GTATCTTGACTAACAGTACCTCGGACCCTTTGGGTAGCAGAAGCTTTAACGTTGGAACATTATAATACGACAACGTGAAAGGGATCCTAGCACAGATCATCCGAAACCCATGTTCCTAATTTTCTGGGGTTCACTTTAAAGGAACATACGGTTGATGATCTAAATCCTGCATTACACATAAGACATAAGAAGGAATGTACCATGATTCCCGTAGTTTAGGGTCCTTAAAGTCTTAAAGTCATGCAGGATTTATATCATCAACAGTAGGAATGCTTAGAGGAACCCTTCGATGTCGGCTCTTCAGAATCCGGACAGAGTGATGACCATAGCCAAGCCTGAAGCTATCACGAGGCCCCTGAAGATGCTGAAGCCCTCACGGTTTGGGGTTTAGGGTTTAGTTTTTAGGGTTTAGGGTTTAGATTTTGGGGTTTAGGGTTTAGATTTTAGGGTTTAGGGCTTATTTTTAGGGTTTAGGGTATGGTTTTTAGGGTTTAGGGTTTAGTTTTTAGGGTTTAGGGTTTAGGTGCGAATGTGGTAGACAGCATCAGCACAGGATGCGAAGTTGATCCAAGTGGGTCCATATATACTCCGATTTTGGAATTAGTCCCCTACAACCATAATAGGGATGGCCTGTTGGGGCCTGAATCCATAATGGTATACTTTTATATGTACCCTCTGGGGATCCGTGGATACCCACCTGGTCACCTGCAGCTATGATTGCATTGGTTGCTTGACAGAAGGCCCAGCGTTGTACGTTCCTCCTCCGCTGGGCATCGCAAATGGCCGCGTGTTTGGTGTGCCAACCGGCGACAGCGACTGCGGCCTCACTTGAGGGTATGGCTGGTCCAGAATTCCCGTGAGCACGATAACCGACTCTGAAGCATCTGCTGCAGTGAAAGCTTATGCTGATACAGCTGCTACATCTTACAAGTTAGCTTCGAACATCTTCGAACCACCATCACCATCCCGTCACCGCCAGCGTCGGCGTCGCGTCGCCAGATGCTCAATGCAACCCCAGATGCTCCGGCCAGCTGGATAACACTTGGTGGGCCCAAAATGGCGGAGAAGATTATTGTGTAGATGCCCATCAGGAAGTAAAGGAACCCGATGACATATCGATAGATGTTGTCGCACCGGGCAGACGAAGGCATGACATACGGTTGCATACAACCCATCACATAGGTATGCGTGGGACTGTATGTGATAAGCCTCCCGTACTTCAGCTTCACCTCGGAAATCGCGTTGTGGTGCATCAGAAGATGCGCTCATTTGCACGTCCGAAGTATCTGGCACCGCATGGAACCCTCCAATGGACCCACTTAAACCCCTAAACCCAGAGCGCGGACATGCACTACCATTAGTATGGAATTGGCCCCCGATTGAGACCACGGCTGTTATGACTTTCGGAACCGAGGGCCTGGACGGTAGTACATATGGAGGATCCCTTCGGGGGGCTATTTGGGAGAATGCAGGCAAGGCGTGTAATGTAGGATCGATTGAATTAGAATAGGTTTGGGGGTATAATGGTGCGGTTGGCTCACTTAACCCTAAACCCTAAACCCTAAACCCTAAACCTTAAGTCAAGATCTTACACGGAAAACCTAAACCCAGCCGCTCTTACCTCGACCTGGTCTTCGAAACACATTGAAACCCAGCCAGCGGTCGAGAGTCTACCTAGAGGCTCATACGCTACCCCTTGTTTAAGGGGCGTACCTTTTAAGACAACAGATCCTGACCATGAAACCAGGTATCTTAAAAAGGGGTACGTAGGTTATGAGCCTCTAGGTAAGGCTTCGGGCTACTATTCCCGAGGGTCAGATGTTCGACAAGTTTGGACCTAGAACCCCGGAATCACAGGATAGGGATGGTCTTTCAGAATAACTGCAGCAGAGCAACACTATGCACTCTTAGGCAGTAGAAAAGCCATAAACTAAGCTTAAGGCGTGAAAGCACAGAAGGATCCCACTGGCTAACCTCTGGGGTATTCGCAATTCGGCACTGGATACAGTGAGCATGGTATTTGGATCCTAAAAACGTTCAAGTTTAGGGTTTAGGCCTATTAGGGTTTAGGATTTAGTTGGCTAAGTGGACCCTTTCGGTATACTACGGTGCTGAGACGACATGCCCTAAACCCCTAGTTGTAAACTCCTTAACACCCGAATGCCTCTACCCGTAAATCCCAAATCCCAAATGCCTGAACCCCCAAACCCCTCAACCCTGTCCCTAATAATTCCACAGGACCCTTAAGGAACGGTTAAAAGGAACCTGCAACCGCTAGAGCCTTGATGCCCCCCTGAACTGGGATCTTGTTCAGGAACCCAGACCCCCGGGAGGATCTAGAAAGTAGATCCCCTAATTTGGGGCCCTATACTACTAAGGGTACTTTATAGGAACCCCCATTAAGGGATCTACTTTTTGGATCCTCTCGGGGGTGTGGGAACTTGATTCAAGCGACCAGAATAAGGACCATACACCCCTACCTGGCAACTTAAGCTTCACAACTCACAACCATCCTGTACAACTCGAATCACCTGCTTCAGTAGCCATGGTAACACAAGCTCAGCTCCGTAACAAGAGACCTATACTACCTAAACCCCGAATCCCCTGATCAGCCCTTCTCCCCTAAACCCAAAACCCGTAAACCCTTGATAGACCTATATGTAACCGCAAACCCTAAACATCTACTGGCCTAAACCCATAAAGACCCAAACCATCCAAAAGACCTTATTCCCCTAAGCCCTAAACGTCTAAAAAAGGGGCCTTCATGATTAGAACAGGGTTTTGAGGTATACTATAATATACGCATCATCAGAACCCCAAGAGACCTAAATCTCTCAAACATAAGCATCTAATGATGGCCTGCTGTTGATCCCTTATGCTACCCTTATACACCCCTTTAAAGGAACCCGAAACCCCCCCAAGAAACCTAAACCCCTAAACCCTAAGCATCTAAAAATGGCCTGCTGTTGATGCTCTCCATGCGGAAGAGGGCACGGAAGACGCGGAAGGAATCTTGGCCTCGTAATTTAAGGGCCTCCTTGAAAGGGTTCCTTTAAGGGATACTATTATAAGGGTACTACAGGAGTTTAAAGTAATTATTAAGGCCCATGTAGTATGCCGGGTTTTTGGTTTACCTTCAGGTTCCTTTAAATCTCTACCCTAAGGCTCCTAACAGGGTTTTGGGCTTTCTGGGGAAGGGTTTCGGCTTTGGGGGCTAGGGTTTGGGACCTCACTCCAAGGGTCCAGGAGCTTCAGGGTAGACCCTAAACCCTGGGACGGGGGGCTTAGTCTAACCTTTCAGACCCGCTGTGTTAGCTTGCTTGCAGGCCATGGGAGCTCTGTAAGTTGAGGAGTTTAGGGGTTCAGGGGTATAGGGGTTTAGGGATTTAGGAGTTGGGGATTTCTTGAGTCAGAATAGGGTGTTCGCTTACGCGATCTGCGCAAAATCCGGAACCTTTTCTGGCTTTTCTGCTACAACGAAGAGAATGATCGGTAATTGAGGTGCAGTGACCCTATGTTTCCATGGACCTTATCATTGGGTCCCCAGCGCCGGAGCCTAATGATAACACCCCATTGCCGAACATGGTAGAGTCAAGACCCACGACTATAAGCTATCAGTGGGGGTTGCGGGTTACAAATACATATAAGTATGACTATTTGTACTTCTAATCCAACTTACAGATTCGCATGATCCTTCCAGTACCCCTAAACTCCTTATAAAGCCATTGTAATTCAAACCCTTCTGGAAACCTTATAGAACCCTTTACAGAACCCTTGTAGAACCCAAACAAGTAATTTTCCTTATGTCAAGCTCGAGGTGTTCGGGATTTCCGCTTGTGAGGCTTACCAGCTTAACCACGGCGCAACCTTAAGGGTCCAGGTGCGGTACTTGGGCAATGTGGGCTTGCAACTAGGAATGATGTAAGTTAAACCCAAAACCCCTGAACCCTAAACTAGTCTGTCGGTGAGCAAAAAGTATCAGGTACTTGGATCCTTAAGGTGTGGCTTCGGTGCTCATCAAGCATGACTGACAAAAAGCCTTGCATCCTACAGGTCCAGCACAAAGCCAAAAAGCCTGACTATTATTGTCATTGTTGTCATGGTGTATTACTAATATGTTACCTTCTTCTTACTATTACTCTTGTTATTGTTGTTGCATTGTTTTTGCTATTCTTATATTATACTATATTAGGTTGACTTTGCTATGTTAAGATATTGCACATACTTCTAATCCTAGCCCAACCCTTAAGACCTTACAGTTAAAGGATCAGGGTCACTGTACTGTTGGGGAAAAACCTTTTTGCATTCGCTGGATCCACTCGGGCCTGGCTAGTCCGGGGATTGCACAAGGAATGCCAAGAAATTACATAGGGACCCTTAGGGGGTAGGTGGACGCGGGGGGGGGGGGTAGGGGCCTTGATGCCAATAATAAGGACCTAATAAGGCCTATTTATATATTTATATATATATATATATATATATAGTCCGCTGCCCCCTCCCCCCGACACCCGAAGGGTTCCGTATGAAAATGTCGCCTCTGCTGGCTGCGATGCACCACTGGCTCATGTCGGAGGAGCGAGCCGACTCCCAGAGTCGACGCCGGACTCGTTTCGTCATGACCGGCGCTGAGAAATCCCTCAGAGCCCAAAGGGTCCAAGTATCATTATGGTATATACTTAGAGGGTATTTGGGGGGGGGGGTTCTAAGTATCATTATGGTATATACTTAGAGCCCCCAAATACCCTATAAGTATATACCATAATGATACTTGGACCCTTTGGGAGAGATCTGGGGTCCAGGAAGAACTGCGCGACTGGAGCATGGGCTTGAGTTGCTGCATCCACCAAGGCTCTCCTGCTCCGAAACCTACTATTTGCTTAAGAACCCCCCAAAAAATAAAAATATATTCCTTATGGGGGTAATATAGGGATTATTATTTTTACTTTTTGGGGGGTTCTTAAGCAAATAGTAGAAACCTTCAGGGCTCTGGAGCTCATGCGTCAGCTCGTGCGGGCGTTTTCAGCGGCCTCGAGCAATCGCTGGACATCCTTGAACTGGCGTTCGGCGGCATATGTCAAAGCTGTCTTTCCATAATCGTCGCGCACATCCTTGTCAACTCTGGCCTCCAGCAGCAACTGCACGACGGGAGACTGGCCGTTGAAAGCTGAAGTCATCAGCGCGGTGCCGCCCACGTTGTCCGGAACATCCTTCTGAGAGCCGGCCTCCAAGAGAGCGTGGACGATTGCAACATGACCTTCGCTTGCTGCGTCCATCAGCGCTGTGCGGCCATCTTCGTCACGCAGATCCTTCTGAGCGCCCGCCTCAAGAAGCAACCGCACCACTGCATCACGACCGTTGAAAGCTGCATACATGAGCGCCGTGCTGTTCTCTAGATCAGGCAGATCCTTCTGAGCTCCGGCCTCCAGGAGTAGCTGCACGACTTGAGAATGACCGCCGCCTGCTGCATCCATCAGTGCTGTCTCGCCCCGATCGCGATGCAAATCCGTCTGAGCGCTGGCCTCCAGGAGCAAACGCACAACATCCACGTGGCCGTTCTGAGACGCACGAATCAATGGTGTGGAGGAACCATACATAAGATCCGGGTCCATCGGAAGCTGCAGCAGAGATTCGACCTGAAAGCTTGCGAAAGCTTAGGGTATAGAGAATCCACAGGGCAGGTGACAAGATATTAACAAATGTGCCTTAACAAAAAGCATAATGGGGTTCATTGTATATACTATGTTCGTCTTCAGTAACATGCAGGACAGTAATTATTGCCAAAAAACCAGACATTTGTATCTGCGCGAGGTCGGGGAGCAACAGGCCCGAGTTTTGTTCTATTGAACAATTTCTACACCGATTACGAATATTCGTAGTAGTCTGATTCCGACTTTGAAGGTTTGGGAAGTTTCGGGAGGAGATCAGCAACCCTGAGCCCGCCCTAGGTTTCCAGGGTTTGCCGGCTTTTGCGTATCATCCGAGACCCTAATCTTAAACCTTAGTTAAACCCTACACCAAAGAACATGGTAGACTAGGATCTATGAGATGATCCATTCACTATCAGGATTTCTGGGGTGCAGTCCCCTTCGTGGATTCCAAGGAAAAAACCAAACACTATTTATATACTCTAGACTCTAAACCCTTATAAAACCCTAAAGCCCGAAGCCCTAAAACCCAAAAACCCTAAACTCTAAAACCCTAAGACCCTAAAACCCTAAGCCCTAAAACCCAAAAACCCTAAACCCTAAAACCCCTAAACCCTGATCACGCTCCTTGCTCCCCCCCTGCCTCGGCCTGGAAGCCTCCAGCCCTATACAAAACACTATAGAACCCTCATCGAACTCCTCTAGAAAACCTTATGGTCCCCTTTCAAGGAACCCTTAGAAAGGCCTTCGTACGTACTCAAAAGCCCTAAACCGAAACCCTAAGCCCTAAAGCCCCAAAACCCCAAAATGCCAGGCCTACGTACTAAAAGCCCCGGGCATCAAAATAGCCCAAAAGCCTCATATAGTATGGTTTTGGGGCTCAAAAGCCTTAACAGATGCCTAGGGTAAACCCCAACTCCGAAGTCCTTATGAGGTTACTACAAGGCTACTATAAGGGTTACGATAAGGTTACTAAAAAAAAGGGGGCCCAAAGGAGTCTCGTCCTGGAGGCGTTGGAGCCTTAAGCCCTCCATAGGAACCTCATAAAACTCTTATCATAGAACCCCCGTATGGTCCCCTTTAAAGAAACCCTTAGAAAGGCTTACGTACCTACCAAAAAAGAGGGGCCCCACACCCTAAACCCTAAAACCCTAAAAAAGGGGGCCCAAAAATCGGAGCCTCAGCCTGGAGGCCTTGGGAAGCGGCCCTCCAAAGCTCAACGGGCCGCGGCTCCTCGGAGAACGGCAAAGTCAGCACCTGAAGGGGTCCCTTTAAAGGGATCTATAGGGGTTCCTTAAAGGGATGTAGGGGGTTTAGGGTTTAGGGTCTACTTGAAGGATCATGGGATCTATAGGGTTCCTTAAAAGGACTTATAGGGCTCCTTTAAAGGGATCTCTAGGGATCCTTTAATGGGATCTCTTCTCTAGGGTTCTTTTAAGGGGATTCTATAAGGGTCCTTTCAGGGTGCATTACTTCCTTTCAGGGTGCTTTACTTAAAGGATCATGGGATTTAGTAACTAGGGTTCCTAAAAAAGGGCTCCTTAAAAGGGTTCTGTAAGGTTTCTATAAGGTGTGGTTAGGGGCGCTTAAAGGATCATGGGACTTAGTAACTAGGGTTCCTTAAAACGGCTTAAACGGATCTGTAAGGTTTCTATAAGGGGGGTTAAGGGGTACTTAGTACCTAGGGTTCTAATTAAGGAGGCTATACTTATAAGTACTTATAACCCCAATTAAGGTACTTATAACCTTACTTACTAAGTCCCAAGATCCTCCAAGCACCTGAAGATCCGTCACGGCGTCCTGGGCTCTTGTTAAAAGGGGTTCCTTTGAGGGATCTATAGGGTTCCTCTTATAGGGGTTATGGACTTTAAAGTTAGGGCTCCCATAGTAGGGATTTTTCTTGAGGGTTGAGGGTAGGGTCGCCTCCTGGCCTCTTGTTATCTAAGTTGCCATAAGTTACCATAATCTAGGGCTCTGTTAAAGGGTTCTATATGGGTTTAGAGATCCGTCACCGCGTCCTGGGCTCCCAAAGAAGAGGGATGAGAAAAAATGAGGGTTCAGGGTCGGGTTTGGGGTTTAGGGTTTTTGCCAAGGCTACCATAATAAGGATTTATAAGGCTTCCTTTAAGGGATCTTTCAGGCTTAAGTTACTAGTATAGGGATCTATAGTAGGTAATATGGCTTCCTTTCCTCATTGTGGTAACTTAAATAAACTCCGTTAACAAGAGCTCCCAAACCCTGAACCCGATAGATCCCTAATTCCCGATAGACTATAGATCCCTTGAAGTACCCTTATAGTAGCCTTATAGAGCCCTGTAAGGAGCCCAAAACAAGAACCTTAACCCCTAAACTCGATGAAGGAAGCCATAATAGATCCCTTAAAGGAGCCCGACAATTATCTGGGTTGTAGTTTTGGGGCTCTGAAAAGTATTTATGAATAGGTACCTCTATAGGAACTATAAGTGAAATTCAAAAGTTTCCCAAATTGCCACCTGGTTATGATAACTTAAATAGAATCCCTTACCCCTCATAGAGCCCTTTAAGGAGCCCAGTGTCAGGGCTCGCAGAGTCCGGATCCAAGCGTCTCTTCAGGGCAGCCACGCCAGAAGCGCGCAGATCCATCATAGAATCCAGCATCAGGGGTACCTTGTTGAGCCGTTTCAAGGGATCCATAGGGGTTCCCTTAAAGAAGGGGTCCTTAAGAGGATCTATAAGGGTTCTATAATGGGGATTATTGTAGGGAGTTTCCGAAAATTAGGGGTACCTTTAGAGAGATCCTTTAAGGGTTCCTTAAACGGATCCATACGGGTTCTATAAAGGGTTTAGGGTTTGAGTTTCCGAAAATTAGGGGTATACACCTCATTGGGATCCTACTACTTAGCTATGGGGTACTAGATTAGGGTCCCCTATTTTCGGAAACTCCCACCTGTAGATCCATCAGAGAATCCAGCATCAGGGCATCATTCAAAGTGTTTCCCTCATGAAGGAGCCGTTGCCTGAAGCGTGGGGGCAGCCCGTGCTGCTGCAACCGCTGCTTCAAGGACTTCACATCGCTAAGTTCCGCGAGGGGCAGGCTGGCCACCTGGGAGTTTCCGAAAGTAAGGGACGCTTAGGGTTCTTTACAGGGCATCATAAGGGCTCCTTTAAGAGATCTATAGGGGTTCTGAAATGGTTTGGGTGGGAGTTTCCGAAAATGGGGGAACCTAATATGGAACCCTAAATATCAAAGGGGAAAAGGAGGGACCCCTAATGGGGACCCCTACCCTATAATGGGCCATATAATGGGTATATAATAGCTATATTAAGGGTATATACCTAGGGGTCCTTATTAAGGGTCCCTCCTTTTCCCCTTTGAAAATAGTAGGATCCTTTTTATAAGGACCCACAGAACAAGGTACCCCGAGTTTCCGGAAACTCCCCACCTCTTCCCCTGAGAGCTTCCTCACGTGCAGCATTGCAGGCAAAAGATGCAAACACAACAGGTACCTATATACGGGGTTCCTTTAAGGGTTATATACTATAAGGGTTCTATAAGGGTTCTATAGGGGGTTTAGGGTTTAAGGGTCCATGTATCCAAGTAGCATAGACTTTGGGCCCAATGTATCTAGATAGGGAGTACTTTAAGGCCCATGTATATATTATTTGGGTACATGGACCCTTAGGGAAAGTATAGGCTCGGGGCAAGGGCAAGAAGACTCACATTTTCGCGACTGTTCTGCCGGCTACGCAATTTTTCGTATAAACGCTTCTGAAACTAGATGTCAGACGTGTCTAACATGGAAGACTGAATAACTAGAGTAGGGCTCTATGGCGTTCTACGCTGGTTCCAGAGTACATGGGATCTTGATATTAGAGTGCTGGGATATATCACAACAGATTTGTACAGCTTTTATGCAGCAGTTGATCTTGATACTAGGGTGCGGGGATATATCACAGCAGAACTAGAACTGTATAGCTACTATGAAGGCACTTGTTGCTACTAATTCAGACACCTGTCGCATTCCGAGGAGAGCCGAAACAGCATGACTCGGAGATCAGGTTCGCAGCTTTGATTATTCTAACCGGGTGTTGAGGCACACTATACCTGTATGCCTAAACCCTACAAACCTGTAGGTTATGAACCCCTAATTAGAGGGTGTAACCCTTAAAGCAGTAGGTTCTCTAGGATCCCCAGGTTATTGCTGCAGCTTTTCAATCAGGAGCCCGCAAGATAGTATCGGCAGCGGCGGATATTCTTCAGCCCCCTATAGTATATGGGCGTCCGTGCAATCCAGCTGCAGTAACAAGACCGGCAATTACGATTATGACCCTCTTCGAACCATTAAGTGAGAGTTTTCGACATGGGGAACCCATACTTTTCGGAAACTCTCAAGTAGACCCCTTTTAGTAGCCTGTAATCAGAGCATTTAAGAACCCTGGAATCACAATAGGTCCCGCGAGCACCTGACTCAACCCAGCAATCTTCGAACAGTAGCCGAACAAAAGATCGATCGAAGAAGTAATATAGGGGCCTTAATGATTAGAATAGGGTTTTGGGGCCCATTATACTAAAATTATAAGAAGGAGCCCTCAAACTTGTATAGGTAATTATTAAGGCCCCTTCCTTATTACCTCAAACAAGCAGAGTTACAAGCGCTTCAACTGGGGTAAGCTTTCTTGACTTTCTTGCAACTCGAGCGGTACCCTAGGTTTGGATTCACCTGGCCCGACATGCACACCCAGCAGCTACTATTCGATGCCTACATCGTTGTGTAAGGGTCGTATAATTGGAATCATGGGAGAATATGTTTAAAACTGGAGGCTTAGATGATGGAGTAGGGTTTTGGAAGCTTTTTCGCTTCAAGTATACTGTCCAACCCCCACCCCCCAAACCTCAACCCTTTAACCCGTGCTGGACGGATCATTGTGACAAGCACCTCAACGCTAATGGTCCATGTAAGCAAAAACTTACTTTAAGGCCCATG